CGGAAGGTCAGCCAGACACTTCTCACGTTCAGCTGTGAGCAGGCAACAGTAATTTCACTTTATTCAGAGCCTGAGCTGCTTTACTTCTGCTTCAGTGTCGCTTCATTTCACAATTAGATGACAAAATACTTTTGGGTGGTTCACTAGAATTCTTTCCGGATCACTAATTTTCATTCTGGAGAATTTCAGTTCAGCAATGCTATCAGAGACTTTCAGTATTGTTTGCTAGTAAAGTTTGGATTGACCAACAAATACGATGCCCTAAATTAATTTCAAATAGCCCCGAAAACATATTATTAGATGTAAATTAATTAGAATGTAAAAGTGTTATAAACATACTTACTCCAAACCTAATTTAGGAAAATTTAGGGCAAGAAACTTAGGAAATTTTTAATTAAGGTACTTGAGGGTTGGACTTAATTTTTTCAAATTTGTATTGCCTTATAAGAAAAGTCACCATTGCAAACAGGATAAGTTATTTTATTAAGGTACAAAACAGATTTGCTGATTTTGTCTAATTTCACTCATATTACAAATGCAGAGTATATATTATTATAGGATGGACGTTACCAAACGCCAAAATATTGTGCATAAATGCAATAAACTCAACTCGTAGAATTAGAACAGTAAAGTATCTACTGCCATTATAAATAGTGCAACATACATACTGTATCTACAGTGCAGGGGAGAGTATAAACATGTACAAATGAGTTTCTTAAGGAACAGTCACATTCTTTGAACAATTACAAATATTAACGAGGGTACTCAAATACAGAACCAATCAAAACATTTATTTTTTCTCTTTTTTCAAAAAAAACAGCCGAGCTTCTTCCCAGGCTTGCTGAGGAAATCTGTTAGCCAGCTCCAGATAGTCTTGGAAACCAAGGCATTTTCCTGAGAGAAAAAAAGAAAAGAGTTAAACTAAAGAAATTTACATTTTTTTAAGTTTAAGAAATTAAAATTACTTTGATATCTGAGTTCAAAATGGAGACATTTCATATAAACCATGATACAAGTTTATGTAAATAAGGCAACTGATCTACTTATAGTATAAAATATATAACATATATTTTAATTACATTCTATTTTGTGCTTCTAACATTCAGACATTGACACCTATGTAATAAAGCATTATAAAAATTGTTTTTGGACTTCAGAGTAAGAAAATAGGGGAAAATGACTATAGTAAAAAAAAATGACAGTTCTATATTACATACTAAATCAGCCTTGAAAGGGTAAATCTGTATGTAAACTTGCCATCTGTTTTCTAAAACAGTCTATTCAAAATATTTCAGTTAAAACATAACTTCAAAAGTGCTCAAACCTGGCATGCAGTCACCTTATAAAGAAGAAGGAACGATTAGGAGCTGGTCATTGGTGCAGGCAAAGCAAAGCGCCAGAGCTGGGCAGTCGCTGCGCAGGAGCTATTTGAAAATCAGACCCTCCCTTGGCAGTAAGAATGTGGTGCTGCCAGAAGCTGCTTTACACTCAGAACCAAGCGGTTCACCTGGGCAATGAACTTAAAACGTCTTGAAACATTTTGGGGGGAATTAATCAGGGCAAAAGGGGAACAGATGTCCAAGGTGCAAACCGGCCACTTAGTGAGGCCTTATCATTTGTTTAAATCAAGTAAACGTATTATGACCAATCACCGATACAGTGATCACTCTTTCTGAGCAGGGCGGAGAACAGTTCCCCATTCGCTGTTTTGCAGAGTAAGCCACCTATAAAGCATGAAAGTCTAAGAAGATGGTCCCTTGAAAAAAAAAAGTTTGAAGCTCCCACAGGCCTGAGCAGACAGAGAGGCACCCCTGGGAATCGGCTTGCCAAATATGAGCAAATGCTGACTCATCCCTACTGTTAGAAAAGGAAGAAAAAATGTCTACATTTCTTACTGGCAAAAAAATTGCCACAAAAATAAAAAACACATTAGAAAATTTTTTTCTAGAAATTTTCATATATTCAAAATTTTAAACATTGTTCTGTAAGAAATAGCAACAAATTATGCTGATTTCTCCCAAGTAGCTTTCAATAGCTTTTAAAAAAAGAGGCTATAACTGAGTTAGGGCAGAACTGAACTTGCACACTAATTCTGGCTTAGACAAATGGTGCTGAATATGATGTTGATTTGAATTTCTAAAAAAGGGGCATAGCTTTCTGTTTACTTCTCTGAGTGGCCTGAGCCAATAAATGACATTTTTCATGATATTGTTACAGATTTAGTTATATTCTTTTCTATATACTTTTTAATACCTGCCCACTATAGACTGTGTGTGTGTGTGTGTGTGTGTGTGTGAGAGAGAGAGAGAGAGAGAGAGAGAGAGAGAGTGAGAGTGACAGAGGTCACCTCTCTTCCCAAGTCAGGGCTGCCTGGTGGGTGCCCCCAGAGGATTTTGCTGGGAGTGGGCCTCTGGCCACTTTAAAAACTATCAAACTAATGGAGGAATTGGGGAAAATCTGGATTAGGGTCTCATTAATCAGAGATGCTGTCATGACATCAGACAAAGAGCAACCTGTACTTCTCAATTACAGTGTGGGTAGCAGAATATTTTAAAAAGTAAGAAAAAAAGAGAAGCACTTTAAAATTCTACACCTGCAGCCTCTCATCACAGGAACACCTCAGCAGAAACACTATAGGAAGAAGACAAAAAGCTTATACATCTTTTGGCCCCTGAACTCTGCTAATCTGATGACTTTTTCTACATGTAAAACAATTTTATACTTTTTATTTTCAATAAAAAAATTCAGGTACTTGAATTTAGGGATGAAATATGGGCTACTATCACTGGTAATTTTATTCTCAACATGGATAGGGAATCAAACCTGTGTGATTTCAGCATTTATGTGAGTAGCACAGGCCTATACTGAATGTCTATCTGAATGTCTCCTGACAAAGTGGCTCTTTAGTAATTATTCACCATTTATTATATCTTGCATGAGGCGAGAATAATTACATAAAGAGGTTTTGTACTTTTTACTTGCACAGATTTCTCTGTATATTCTGATGCACTCATGCTTGGTGAAAAAATCAGTTTCTTTACTCAGTGAAATATACTTGAAATCTCAATCTGAAATATTTTAGATGATGTAATAAACTGATTGCTCTAATAGTTCCAGAGGGTAGGGTGAGAAATATGCCCATTCAGCCAACAAACACATGGCATTTAATTTCAATAGAGACATACCTTTCAGCTGATAAGACTGGTTATCTGCCTGACTTGAAGTCTGTGCAAAATCCTGTGTGAGACAAGAAAAGTGTTTTAATACCAATGTTATGAACAGAGAATTTTGCTGTGGGCAGCTTTAAAAATGCTTCTGAATTCTGAAAAGGTATTTTTGCATGAATACTTTGGAGCCCAAATATAAAAGCTGAAGAAACTGATGTTATATAGTTCAGGTTCTCAAACAGTGATGACTCAAGTTTTGTTCAATATCGCTGGCTACTACGGAAACTATAACGTTATTTTATATCTAACAAACTAAAACATTTTAGCCAAATTTACTGTCTTAAAATACTGGTACATTTTAAACATTTTTTAGAATGTTATCTATTCTACAGCTAAATTTTAAAGTCTAATGATTTCACTTTTAGATGCAAAGTGAAAAATGTATATACTTTGTAAATTTTCAGACCTTGACAAACTACCAGCTTCTATTTTTAGTATCATTTTCTAGTGACTATTAATAATAAAACACAAAGGGACCTTGAAGAACCATTTTATAAACTAAAATATAATGTATATCCATTCCCTCAAGCACAATTATTTATAGAAAAAAAACTTGATTTAACTCCACGAATCTAACATGTTATGCCAAGTAAGCAGTATAAAAAATTTCTGTAGCATTAACAAAATTCATGTTAATTTGTTAAAATGTGTTAAGTGTGCAATATTTACCTTAAGTTACATTTATATGTGTGTTAAATGTATTAGAGGAGTTAGAAGCACGTTGAGATCCATAGCAGATGAAAACAAGTAATACATATAATCTTTTACTTTAGATTCTGATAGCATTTGCAGTTTTATAAACTATTTTCCAAGCAGTTGAAAATGTGAGGGATTAAGTTAGTACAGACGTAAATTGTCTTTGCTCAACTGTCAGTGTCTTGGCTGAAAATTTCTGATCACGCCATAAAAACCGCTCCCTGCTCCCTGGGGGTCCCTGCCCCCTTTTCTTGCCTTACTTTCCCCTACAGCACTGAACACCGTCTGACATGCTACTTGTTTCACTTATTTTTTTGACTTCCCCACTTTAATGAAATACCCATACAGGAAGGAATTTTTATTTGTTCTATTCATTGCTGTATTCCTAGAGCCCATAGCAGTGCCCAGCATATACTACAGACACTCCAAAATTAGCGGTTGAATGAAATAATGAATTTTAAGATAAGTTAAAAAATTTTCTACGATGCATTATTTCCTATTTAATCCTAAGGATCTAGGAATATATGAATAATCCTAAATGTTGATATATGGTTATGTAAGGTTTTAATTTTACCGTAAGACATTTTTTGAAATCCATACCCTATCTGTAGATCTGAGCATCTCTGAAATTTTTTCAGGAAATGGAACCCACACTCAAACAGGACAATTAAGCTGAAAACAAAACATTTCTAAACATAATTGATCTAGTTGTGTTTATTAAATGATCATCTAATAGAAGATAGTTTAAAGAAGCATAAACCACTAATCGCTGTCCGAAGCGAGGAAGGCTCAGGGGCCTCTTCAGTCACCCGGCCGGCTGGGCGTCATCGCACCCGCTCAGCGATGGCATCTGTAACATTGGCCAGAATAAGGACCAGCACTAATACAAAGCTTTGCTTTCTGTTTCATTATTATGAATGGAAAACATTCTCTATTAAATAATTACATGTGCGTCATGGAACAAAAAACACACTGGCTTTATGGTGGAACATTTGAAAGAAAATGCAATATTTTCAGCAAATAATTATCGACAATGACAGGAAAAAAATCACAAGATTAGTTATTAGTAAATGTTAAAGAATAGTCAACTTTTCTATTGTCAGTTGACTGAGTTAATTTAGATGTGAAAATACTGCTTTGCTTGCTATAGCACTAATTCTGATTCAAGTTGTACAGAATTTAACTGGATCAAAAGAATATAAGGCCGCACTTAAAAGTTTTAGATGAAAAGTAAAAGCAATCTTAACAGATTTTTTTAGACACATACATGCAGATGTGTGTGTACATATATGAATCATATTTATTAAAAAATTTACAACTTAACTGAAGTTTTAATTGACCTTTCTTCATCAGTCACTACCTATTCCCTATAGCTAGACTAAATGCAGGATGAATTTAACAATTAAAGCCTTAAAGAAGTCTGACAGTATTTTAAAAACATTTCCTTAGTGCGGACTTATCATTTCATTAACTGGAAAAACCTCCTTTTCTTGAAATTCTCTAAGTAGAAATTACACAACACTGGTATTTTAGATATTAATACTATCCTGATATTTTAGAAATTAATTTTCATGCAGAAATATATGAGAAATTTAAAAGGTGCACAGATAGCAGGAATAAACAGCTGGTTCACTTTGACTTTTCAATCACACTAGCTTACATACATAAGGCCAGGAGGGTAGGCATGACACAGAGGGCACCTGAATGAACGTGGCCAGTAAAACACAGCTCATCTCGTGCTCCAGAATGGTCTTGTTCTGGCGGCTGTTGAAACAAGCAGCGATCAGTGAAGGGAACAGCACTTTGATCAGCTGCGGGTCGCTGAAATACTGGAAGGGCAGCTGGCACAGCTTCTGCAGCACTGTGGGGTGGCGGCCGGACTGTACGATCACCTGAACAGAGAAGGGACCCCAGGTCAGCTGCCAGCAAGCCCTGGCCTCCCCACTGCCAACAGGGTCAGTAAGAACAGCAGAAGACACACGGAAAGAATATAAGGAAAGAAAAAAAGACTTCTAATGCCTTAGCAAAGCTTCACTTAAGTGGTATCTGAATGCAGAAAAAAAATCTCATTTCTTAACTTAAGGAAAAGACTCCAAGTTCTGCAGCCATTTGAAAATTGTTATAATCCATGATGCAGGCAGAGTACAGCTGCCGTGGAGGGAGGATGCACACGGCTTGAACAAAGTGCCCGTCCCCACGACTCCCCCTTCGAGCAGAGGACCCATATTCCATGAAACCGGTAAAGAGCTCACTCAGAAAAAAGATGCTTCTCCTATGGCCCAGCCCACGGCAGCCTCCCCCGACCCAGCTCACAGAACGCTGTACACTGAATGTAGTGGATGTGTCTCATATGCAGACATGCCCTTGGAATGAAAAGGGGTTGAACGGGGAATGGGAATGGGAACCAGCAAGCACAGGCTCCACAAGCGCCTTCCTCTGACCCAAACTCCTTATCTGTGTTTCCATCAGTGCCACTGAGTCTAAAAGGAGGATTGTTTAGATAAGTGAGACTGTTGTCTTGAAGCAGTCTAGGTTTACAAATGTGTACGTCTTAAGAAATGGGGCAGTGCAATTAATGGGTTTGCAGGGAAGCCCCCCTAATTTACTCACTAGGCATACATGATAAACTAAGAAATGTCAAAATCAGATCTGTTTCAAGTAACCTTGATTAAACAGCTCTACTATGAAAGAGCTGGGTGACTCGAAGGCCACTTCTTGGTACAGGAGGAAGCTCACAGAAGGTTAGGAACACTGTAAAAGTCTAAGGTCAGGACTGTAAATTGTACTTGGAGAAACACAATTTTACAGGTACACACCCAGACAGGGCTGCATTCAAATTAAAACCAGAAGGACAGAATGAAACAGCCGAGGCAGGAGAAACATAAATTACGGGGATTTACAAGTTTTCAAAGTACTTTTAACAATACTTTAAGAACACACTCTCAGATGATAATGCAGTTTGGTTTAAGAACAAAATCAACAAAGTAATAGTTCACATATTTTAGTTCAATGGCTCAAATGACATCAAAAACTTTTGGAGAATGTTGATAGGGACTTGTTAATACCTTCAAATCCAGCAGGAATTTTAAAGACACACAGCGTGACAATTCAGTATATGGCTGTGCGCTGACATTTCTGACATTGGTTGAGAAAAACATGCCCTATCATCTACCTTATTGATAGAGCATTTACTTAAATCTTTATTTTAATTATTACCTACAAATTTTGTAGCACAGCCAAATGATGACCACTTTAGAATTATAATGATACCATTATTAGAAGTCTCTTATCCCCCTTAGGACAAAAATTAAGAACAACTTTTTTCTTTGGAACTTCATTATTAACATGCTATCACTGGAAGATTCACTAATTGAAAAGATATTAAACTAGCCAGTCTGGCTGGCACAGGCATCAGGTTAACTCAAAGCCCACAAGTTCTGGTTCGTAAGTACAGAACACGAGAGCTGAAGTGGCTCTTACCCCATCTGGGCCCCTGACCCTCCCTGGGGTCACTGGGGTGAGGCGGAGCCCCCAGGAGCGGAGCTGGCTGTCAGCTGCCTGTTGAAGAAGTGAATGTACTGAGGTCACCAGCCCTGCAGTGAGATGACCTGCCAGAAGCTGTTATTTTTAAGTCCCTGTACTGCAGAAGACACGAATGGATGTCGGCATTATGGTCACCCTGGGTAAGCTCCATGACAGGACTCCACCAAGTTACAGGCAAGGGGTCCTTAAGGGGTAGTGAGAACCACAGCCCCGGCTAGACTGTGAGTTAGAGTGAGACATCTAGTCAGCACCGCCCTTCGTTCCACATTTCAGACGTTGTGGGAGGCGCAATCAGGAGGGGCAGGATGAGGCCGCCCAGCAGCACTGCGGTTCAGGGCATGAGCCCGCTCCTGGGTAACTCGCACGGGCTTCTGGCACAGAGGGCGGGCAGGCTGAGGTCCCGAGCTCAGCTGAACAGTCGGCTAAATGAGGCTGAGCCTTTCTGGGAGGGGCAGGGAAGCAAGACTGCAATGCCAACAGCCTTACCCTGATGCCCAGGGCCTTGGAGAGACTTGCCTGAGAAGCTCCCGATGGACTGCGGCCGAGAGAGGGCCCCGTGTCACCTGGCTCACCAGTCACTCCGAGTGAGTGCTAGGCTGTCACCTTGGGCTACTCGAGATTCACAGAGGCAAGAGGGAGTCAACGGACAGTCAACATGGGACTTGAAAATCTTGCTGAATGAAAGGACTCACATAATTACCTGACAAGCCTGAGGCACGCACCACCCTGAGCCTGGGCAGGACCCCTACCCCTCCTGTCAGGGCACATGGGCCAACACAAACATAAAGGGGGTGCCCACTGTGTTTTTTCATGTACAGTAGTAGTATACACAGGAGTATAACACCTCTTGGGTTCCCAGACCCAATGCCAATGTGTGTATGTGTGGGGAGGGGTCTCCCCACACGTAACACCAAGCAATTCTCAACACCAGCAGGGTGCCTGCGAACTCCAACTCAGTTCTGACACCATCAGCCCTGAGACAGCATCAGATTCAGCATCAGATTCCCCAGGTCAAGGCCTCCCTCCTACAAGACTGCCTCCACCCCCAACTCCAGACGCCAATCAGGAGCGCTTCTGACCAACAGGCTACAAATCTGAGGCTCCCTTGACTTCTCCCTTCAGTCTGATTAATTTGCTAGAGCGGCTCAAAGAACTCAGGAAAACGCTTACCTTTATCAGTTTAATAAAGGATACAGGTTAACAGCCAGGTGAAGAGAGACACAGGGCAGGGTCCCAGATAAAGGAGCTTCTGTCCCCGATGGAGCGTTTGGTCCCCGAGCACAGAAGCTCCCTGACAGAGGCTCGGGATCCAAGAGCGATGCGCTCCTCTCGGGTCCTCCGGCGAGGGCTTCACTGTGACTAAATCACTGGCCGCTGGCTGATTCAAGCTCCAGCCCCTGCCCTCAGGTGGGGTTCTAAAAGTTTCTCATTAACATTACAAGTCACCCCTTTCACCTTTAAGACTCTGCAGTCTTTTCAGGAACTGGATGAAGACCAGCCGCGCTGAGGACATACACACGCGGTCATCTGAATGACCAAACAGGTATTTCTTACGACTCATCGCACTGCACCCACAGAGCCCCTTTCTGGACCACTGCACCAACGGGAGGGGGTGGCCCGGCTGTAGGTCTCCTTGGTGGCTACGGTCATCAGCTAGCGACAGCAGTAGGGATCTGGCAGAGACCCAATAATGAGGACAAGCCCCCTTTTCTAATATGATGCCTACTTGCTCTTTGGTGCAATTCTAAGACTGGCACAAAACTAAAAAGCTAAGGGATCTGGGTTCCTGCCATTACTCTAGTCACCGACTATTTGGGTGACTGGATAAATTGCTCAGTTGCTCTGGGTTTTAAAGTTGAGAATTTTTTAAAAAGCAATCTTCTCATTGAAGTATAAATACACACATGGATCTCAAAAGCAAACAGGTCAATTTTCACAAAGTGAACATACATGTACCATTAGTACTCAAATAAAATAAAAAGGTCAAGTTTACTGGATCTTTAGATATGTTCTTTCTCACTGAAAATCAGATTTCTATGTTTTGAATTAAAGGCAAATCATACAGAAACTATCTGGCTACATCAGAACACGAGAGAGAGACCCCTTCAAGGCTTTCCTGGGTCCATTCCTGACCATCCTCCGGAGAGAGAACCGGGGGCAGAACAGGCCCCTCCTCCTCCAAGCAGAGGCCAGTGGGCACCACTCCACAGTCACTGGCGAAGGCCAAATGCCCTGTCACCACTTTTTTCTTTGGTATCACTGGCAAGGGAAAAGGGGGGGAAGAGACCCCCTCAGTCCCTCTTCTTTTTGGAACTATCAACAGTTCCAGGACAGAGATCTAGAGAAAGGAGAGTTGCCTGCTACCAATGTGTGCTACAGCCTGGTATAGAGGGCCAAGATTATCTAGATGCTGGCATTACAAATAAATCCAGTAAAAAAGAAAAAGGGAGTTTGCAACAGACAAGCGGACATGGTGACTTTCACCAGCTGATCCCTGGGCTACCCACTAGGCCTTGGGGCTCCAATCTGTGTACACGGGACACACTGAGAGGGCCAGAAAAGAGCTCTGCATTCAGCGGACATTCACTGAGTGCCTCCTGTGCCAAGTGCTATGGGGGCACAGAGAGGAACCATGCCTCAGCGCTCGGGGGATGAGGTAGCACACATGACAGTGATACAGGGAACCTGAGTCATCAGAGAGGGAGGAGTGCGGCGCTAGGGGCCCCCACGGGGAGCGCTCACTCCTTACGAAGACGAATGTGGAAGACTGCGCTGAGGAGGCAGGTTGGCCCTTCAGGGCTGGATCAGAGCTGGGCACCTGGAAACTGCAGGTAGAGAAGCGGCTCCTAAATCCAACACTAGCATGTCTCAGTCTGCGTGAGCTGCCGTAACAAAATGACACAGACTGGGTGGCTTAAACAACAACAATTACTTTCTCCCAGTTCTAGAGCTTGGAAGTCTGAGCCCAGGGTGCCAGCGTGGCTGGGTTCTGGTGGGGCGCTTCCTGGTGTGCAGAGTGACACCTCACTTTGTCCTCAGGTGGCCATTCTTCCCTGGATGAGTGCAGAATGAGAGACCTCTCTTCCTTCTAAGGCCGCCAATGCTACTGAATTAGGACACCCCCTTATGACCTCATTCAACCTTACTTATCTCCTAAAAAGCCTTATCTCCAGTACAGTCACACTGGAGGTCAGGGTTCGACATAAGAATCTCTGGGGGACACATTCCAGTTCAGAGCACAGCTCCATTTCTTCACTGCCCACAGCCACAATGACATTTCACTAGAAAGGCTACAATCGCTGTAAGAGGCGTATTTCTCAGTTTGGCTGGGTCGGTTGCCTCTCAGCGCCCATGAGCCATGAACCTGCGGACTCAAGGTCGCTGGTACCGCGCAGCCCTGGGGGTCTCGGCATGGCTCTGGCCAGTTGACCGGTTTGAGCCTCAGAGTCCCTTCTACAGAAGAGGGTCAAGTGAGACTGTGTCTATGACCACGGTGTAAAATCAGTATTAGTTCAGAATGCTTGCTCAGCTCATGAGCCTTGCTGTCTCAGTCTTTCCTCGCCAGATCTGGCTTCCACATTCCTGCAGGACCGGACCCCCTCCCAGTGGGAGGCCTAATGAATCCTTCCATCACCCCACCCCAATTTCTCCATAAGGGCAGCTCATTAGAACAGGGAGTCTGGCAGCAGTGGGACCCATCCTCTGGCTGGGACTCATTAGCAAGCTCATGCCACCTGTGAAGCCATTACTGCACTCCCCCTGGCCCTGTGCACAGGAGAGAGCTATGCCAACAGGGCTGGGGATGCCAGCAGGATCTGCGGTGGCGGGTAGCAGTGCATTCTGACAGCTCTGAAAAGAAAATCCCAGCATAAGCACGACCCAAGAAACACGGTAGTGTAAAACAGAGAAAGAGGCTTACTTACTCTGTGTGTGTGCGTGCACGCACGCATGTGTGCGCATGCTCTGAGGCTGCTGTGCTGGACCTGTCTCTCTGAAAATAGAGCAGGAAGGGCCAAAGCTAATAGGCTGGTGCTGTGGGCTCCCGACTCAGGTCCAATGAGCGTCTCTCGAAGCATTTAAGAAATCCTCAAGCTCAGGAAGACTCCCAGGCATCGCAGGCAGAGACAGCCTCTGCTTTTCAACCCAAAGACATGGCAGCAGCTATCATAGGTACCTAAGTGTGTGTAGCTTAATTCCCAGTTCCAGAAAGGCAGGAACTGTGCCCTTTCCTGTCGTATCCTCCACTGGTCTGCTAGAGGGCTGGGCCCATCAAACTTACTGGAATGAATGAATCAGAGTGACAGAGGGCCCCTAGTTAAATTCGTGTCTTGCCTTGGAGGAGAATCAGACCACATCTCTTCCGGTGAGGCAGAGATACCATTTTCTGACTCACGGTCCACACTGTGCTGCCTTAGGTCTGCATGTCTAGTCCCTTCTTTGGCAAATGTCCCTCCTCAATTCACATGCTGAGATCACAACCCCCAAGGTGGGGTGTTTGAGAGGTGCTCAGATCTGAGGGTGGAGCCCTCGTGCCCGCTCTCTGTGCCTCTGCCAGGCGAGGACACAGCGAGAAGACAGTAGTCTGCTACCTGGAAGAGGGCTTCCCAAAGACCCTGATGTGCTGGCACCAAGATCTTGGACTTCCAGCCTCCGGAACTGTTAGAAACAAATTCCTGTTGTTTATAAGCCACCCCGGTATATGGTACATTGATTGTTGTTATTGCAGCCCAAACTAAGACAACCCAAAAAGATGGATTTTGTGACTAGCTGTCTCCTTCCCTGGAGGGAAGTTGGGCTTGGCATCCTTGGTCTTGGATGCCAACTCAAGGCTCCCTGGGCTGAATATGGAGACGTCTGGAAAAGATCCTCCTCCTTTGTGGGTGGAGGGTGACACTGGTGTCTCGCTTGATGCCAAGATCTAGTCTTCCAGCACTGCATTTCGAGAACCTCAGCAACACCCAACTTAGCAGAAAGCCCGTCATGGCATAGACAGTACTTCATAGTCTATAAAGCCCCTCCCCCTATATAATCTGAGTCTCCAAACACTGAGGTGGGCAGACAGGGATGTTTCTTTCTTCTAGGAGAGGAAATCTTAGCTCAGGCCCCCTACTCGGTCCTGGTGGAGCTGAGCCTGGACAACTCGAGACCCTGAGTTCTGGCTTCTCTCACCTCTCAGGCCCATCTGGGCTGTCAGACTCTTGGGGTAGCCGCTTCCTGGGCAGAGGGGCTCTCTGCTGCTGAGCCTGAACTCATTTCTTGCACGACTCTGCCAGCCCAGATGACGATGGGGATGACGTGCTGCCATTCTAAACAGACTAAACCACCCGACATACACAGATTAAGCCGACACAAAAGGCCTTTCTTCAAAAACCTATACTCTGCTTGGCTAGGTATCAGACAACCAGTTCTTGGCCACGTGCTGGGCTGTGCCAAGGGTATGTCTCAAGTTATCAGTTGTAAGAACTTGAAAAGGAGGAATGGTCGGTGAATTGCTGGAACAGCCGACTTTGAAATGAGCACTGACTGTCTTGCAATCGGCCACCTTCCGGTTTTGAATGCCTACAAATCTGGTCTTACATTTTTTTAAACAAATGCGATCACATTTGTTTTTATTATATTTATAATGTTAATCCTTGGTATGACTTGAACAGTTTTTCCCAACAGTTAGATTTAAAGAAGAAAAGAAGGAAAGTCGAGTTAGGATGCTGGATAGTCCTATGGAACAGGCCTGGGGAAAGTTTGGAGACTTCATGTCTGTAATGACAACTGCTGCCCTCACTTCAGAGAATCCCCAGGAGTGGTCAGGAAGGCCCATGAAGTGTCTATCATGTCATATAAATGGAAAATGGGGTCTCTCCTCACCCACAGGGCTCTTTTCCTCCAACTGTGACCACCTGAATGCAGCCGAGAACCAGGAAGTGAGGGAGCAGGCCTCGAGGCAGACAAACCAGTCTGTTCATCAAATGTTCACTGAACATCTACTCTGGTCAAGTGCAGTGTGATGCGCCTGAAATGGGGCGGTGACACATTAGAGACAGCTCTGTCCTTGCAGAGTACCCTATCTTTCCATAAAAATCCATGTCAACAACTCACAGGAAGTTCTGCAAGCTCCAACTCAGCCCACTAATTCCCGTTTCAGAAGCAAATCTAATGAAGTGGTTTTCCCAGACTACAGTAGACCGGAATCAGCTTATTAAAAGGCGACTCCTGGAGACAGGCAAACTGACCACGGGAAGAAGCGTCAGCTGACACTGATAAGTGAAGGGGCGGGGACTGAAATTATTCTGAGCAGAAATGAAAATTCACAAGTTGCCTGGAACCATTTGGTTGAAGAGTAATTACCCTCACCTTTTCAGTTGTTCTTGAAAGAACTACAGTGCTAGGGTAAAATATCTTATTAATTATAATCCATCACCTTTATTTAGAACTCAACACTTTAAAAATTTGCTTCTGTTACATGATGACCCTGATGACCCTGATGACCCTGATGTGCCTGGCATTACAGTACATACTCATTTCTTAAGGCTTCAAAAAGTACATATGCATTATGTATGATTAAGTCTAAGAAGGTAGGCAACTAATATAACAAATGATCACAAATAATTAATTTTAGATAAACAATATTAAATGAAACAATGTTTTAAAGGTAAACATGGTCATCTGCAAAGTTCACTTATATGGGAGCACCTCATTCCCTGACTATAGCAAAACCATGCCATTAAATAATACAAATAAATGAGAAAAAGTTCAGTAGCAGTTTCTGCTTATCTATCTATCTATCTATCTATCTATCTATCTATCTATCTATCTACCTACCTACCTACCTACTTCTCATCCATCTCAGACAGAACCAGTGCCCTATAGTAAAATCTCCAGTTCTCTAGGAATCGCCTACATTGAATGAAACAAAGCAGAAAATGGTCAAGTTCTGTTTAAGCAATTCTTACTACGTGAACCCTACTTAATTTTGCTAACATCTAAGAGTGACTCTGAATTCGCCCCTTATTTAGAAGGAACTCCTTCAGTTTTAGAAATTTCTGCATTTTGTTTATTTTCATGTGTTTTTTTCTCAGAATGCCCTCTGGCAAGCTTCTAAATACCTGTGTCACTGGAACCCAAGTCCTGGGTCTGCCACAGACCAGAAGACAGAACCACACACATGGGTCTGCCTGGCTCCGGATATGCGACCAGCTGCTGAGGCAGACACAGACACGGATCCCTGGTTTTCAGGAGTCTCAGGCTATGAACTCTGCAGGGACACGGCTATGTCTCTTTCATTCCCTGCTTACTCCCGGCATCTGGCATAGTGCCTAGCACGGTGATGACAAATAGTAATTCCTCAAGAACTATCTAGAGAATGAATGAATGAGGGCTGAGCTTTGGTTGCAAAGCCTGATTCCAGAGGCCTATACCTATCACATCAGGGCCCTGGGCCTGCCTCACCCAGGGCCCACCAGCTCTTCGGATTTGCGAGAACGGCTGACTGGGCACTAGGGCCGGCACCCTATTGAAACCAGCAGCCTCTTGGCCCAGTGGTACAGGAAACAGGGGCAGTGCCTTTCGGGGAGCCTTGGGAGCTGGTCTGTCCAACCCAAGGTCAAGCCAGTTCTGCTGGTCAGTGTGGCAGGGTGAGCGGAGTAAACGGTCAGACAGAAATGTATACAAGTAGTTAAGCCTCACCCTGGCAAATTCTTCATGCCTAAGAATTCTTTTTTTGTTTTTTTTCCCTTTTCTTGTCAGAGACAAGATGTCCTCAACAGAGAAGCAAAAATAGGTGTCTAGACATCTAAATTCATTAAAAGAGACAGCCCAGAGAGCCTGTAAATCATTCAAACAAAGAATATTTTTTCTAGCAGAGCAGAGACAAAGTAATTGTTGCATTCCTCGCCTCAAAACTCGTCCTGCTACACTGCTAGGGTGAAGCAGCCACGGTTGTGGTGGTCAGGCCAGCGCACGGCATGAGCCTGCCTGTCCACAGTGTTCTGGACGAGGCCCACCCCCCATGAGGCCCAGGCCCAGGCCGGGGAACAGCACAACAGGAGGGCCCTGAGGCCGGTGACCTCACTGCCGTCATACAAACAAGATGTCACATCCCAAACACACGCGCCTTGTTTCTCTAATCTGATACCTTGGGGGTTGAGTAGGGACAGTGTACGAATGGCTTTATTTAAGTGTCACAGGAGAAAAATTTGAAGAGTCTGTCCACCTACATCAGGAAACCAAATTCAGAGCGGAGAAACAGAAAGATTCCCTTGGCTAGCATGGCAAACAAATTCCCCTCCTCCCAAGCTTATTTCAGCTCTAAGATAGATTTCTAGGCCGAGATAAAACGCAGAGACCGTGGCACACCACGTGGGAGGCAGGCCCTTTACACAACAGCCTTCCTCCTGGTGCTCCCAGGGCTTCGCTGCGGTCTAGAGGGACAGAGAGGGAAGAAGGGGAGGCGGGAAGAAGGCAGCAGGATCTGGAGGGTAGGTACAGCCGGCAGCTGGGAAGCCTGGCCTCTCCCGGGCTTTGGAACCCAGCTGATCTGGGCAGCTTTCCTCAGACACTAGGAAGTGCGCTGCTGACCTGCTGTATCCCTCCGGGCAGGAACCGGGGGAGGCGGCCCCTGACTTGGGCTACTTCCTGTGAGAAACGGGCTGTGCTACCGGAGGAATGCAAAAGACAGACGGCTCTGAGCAGGCCTCTCCTCGGACGTTCGGTTCTGCAAGGGAGAGCAATGCTTCCGAACCGGGGCACCTGCTCCCACCGCAGGCCCCCGTGCAGAGGTCCTGACGCCTGCCTTCCCGGTCTCCAGGCACTGGAAAGGGCTTTGGGACAGAGCCGGAGCGTACCCTCCCCCTGCCAGTCATGCTTAGCGCCCCTCCTCATCTCCTGGAGGATGAATTCCCTCGTTCTTGGCCAGGCACACAGGTCCCTTTATGAGCCGGGCCCAGCCTGCTCTTTCACTCTTAGCTCTTGTTCTGTCCCTCCCTCCTGAGCTCTGGTGAGAAGGAAGAGCTTGCTGTTCCCTGGACCTGCCAGGTCACTTTGCATCTCAGCACCTTTGCTCGTGGTCTTTCTTATGCCTTGAATGTCCTTCCTACCTTGCTACCCAGTAAGTATCTATTCCACTTTCAGATATCAGCCCAAGCATTCGTCCGCTGTGAAATACTTCCAAGAGGAACCTCTAGCACAGACGCAGGTTTGTTTACTGTCTGTCCCTCCCGTACCCACCTCAATGTCAGCCCTCAAGGGCAGGCACTTTGTCTACTTTGCTTCGCGGTGTATTCTGGGTGTCTAGAACAATGCCTAGACACTTGAACATTTGTTGAAGGAGGGAATGCGTCTCAGCACTAACATCGTTGTTTCCAGGCAGAAGGACAAAATCTGGGTTGTATTCATTTCTGCATCTCCAAACACATGATCTGACACAGGGTGGGCATTTAGTAAAAGTTGGTAAGTGACCGAAGAAATGAGTGATGAGTGCTTATATGGACACAAAGCTCACGATACTGGCATCTTCCCAAGAATAAGCTTGAATAGCCCCAGCCTTCTGTTCTGCACTGCAACTTCTTTATCCTTCTTTCATGTTGTCTGTTCTGTGAGAAGAGTTACCTTTCAAATGAACCAAGTTCTAAATTCCCTTCGAACACCTCTTGCAGCACAAGGTAGGGTCAGCTGATCTTGGACGCCTGGCCAGCCTTGAGAGCCATGGGTTCTAGGGTCTGCCAGCGGTTATACCTAGACGCGTTGCTTCCATTTTAATTTACATTTGAGGAAAATCTTGTCTAAAGAGCACAGACCTTGGAAATCATACAGGCGCACCGCATCATTGCAAATTTGAGGGTCAACTTATTTTGGATTTTCTGTTTTTTTGCACTCTCTGTGTCCCATCTGTCATAGGATAGGGAACAAAGAGGAGGGACAAACAAGGCTGGCCACAGAAAGCCCTTAGGAGGGCTGGTTAGGTGAGTGGCGTAGGTCCTCTCTGGAAATCAGGGTAGTTGGACTAGATGATCTCCGAAGGACTGTGAATTTGCAGAAATAATATAATCCTGTGCTAAGAGCATTCACATATAAGCACTTTCTGCAGCCTATATCTGTGCAGATATAACATTTAAATATGATTAAAAAAGAGCCTATAACATTTTTTCTTAAGAATGAATTAAAAAGTCATCACATAAAATATGCTGCTTCCAAATTCTCAACTAGCAGTTATTCCAGTTTTCTAATCCAGCTTAAGAGAATTTACACTTACAATCACATATACACGCACATACACATACACACACACACACACACAGAGTACTGCAAAGATTATGCCCATTACAGACTAACAGGAAAAGGGGGGTTGGTAGGGAGGTGGGCAGTTAGATGGGCAGCACTTAATAATGCCTTACAACACAAATACTCCAAGTGTGCTTTGGACCTTTCCTGAGAGGACAACAAGGGTCAAACTTTCTCACCATGGAGACTGGGTGGTGTGAGAACAGTAGAATTAATAAACATAGAGCACAGAATGACAGATTTTCTGGTCACATGCAAACAGCAGCCTGAGAGCATAGATGCATTCCATGGGACATTATGGGCTTAACAGCACTAGTCTATGACAATTTTATTTAATCATGAAAATATAATAGTAGTCAAATCTTTTTGTAGTTTCAGTTTACTGCTTTCTCAAGTGAAATGAATGGTCTCTCAGATTTCTTCTGCTTTCATCTCTCTGCTCTAAGTACAGTAGGATAAGGTTCCAATTAAGGCCCATTAAAGGCTCACATTGATTCATGTGAGCCATTTTCCAGTTTCTTCTCCTAACACAATCTCAGTGCACCCGAGTCATCTCTGCAGTGCGTTTTCAGTTTAGCAGTCGCCCATTAGAAGAGGACCATCCGGGTGCGAGGTCTCCCTCCTCCTCCTGCAGCCCCACGTGGTGAGTGGGGATTCTGCCTCACTGCCTCTGAACGAGCGTGTCCAGCTGAAGCAGGCATGCCCCTCGGGAAGGGAGGCTGTCAGCCAGAGCAGCAGGTCGAGGGGCAGCCCGGAGACCCCTACGGGGGGGCCCCTGGTGCTTCTACATCTTTTGGGTTCACAGAGGAGCCCTGCAGGCAGGGAACACACAGAGCTTTCTCCAGTTTCTCAGCAGATGGGGAAACACACTCTGACAGCAGAGATGGCATATCTATGATATCAAGTGTCAGAGCTTCCTGAGTGGAAACTCCAGGGCTTTTCCCGTGAAAAGCAGGGAATCTGGAGGCAGACAGTAATAATTTCAATGACATCACGTTAACATTTGTTCTGGCCCTGGGAATGTGCTAATCACTATGTACATGATCTAATCTGATTTGCACAACAACCCCATGAGGTGTTACCAATGTTTATTTACTTTTTATTTTTATTTTTTTTGGTATCATTAATATACACTTACATGAACAACACTGTGGTTACTAGATTTCCCCCCATCATCAAGTCCCCAGCAGAGGTGTTACCAGTGTCATCCCTATTTCATAGATGAGGAAAACAGCAGTGATCTGCCCAGGATCACAGGGCTAGTAAGTGGCACAGCTGGGACCAGGTCACCGGGCTCCAGAGCCCGCGGTCCTCTCATCAAGCTATAAAAACTGAACGACCAGCGCTTTCAAACAGAGAGCAGCCCATCGACTGCTCCTGCGACGGGACCCCCCACACACCACATTCTCTGACGAGGAGGGCAGCACCTGACGGCACACTAAAGGTGCCAGTTCCCAAAGGAACTACATGTGAAGAGACTTGCAAAAAATATTTTAGAATGCCTCCAGGAAACATGCTATTAATATGAATGATATGGTGATTTGGGGGTCTTTAGGCATAGATGTTCCCACAATGTGCTTTCTCAGAGTGGGCTAGAAAGCTTTTTTTTCCTTTTCGTTTTAAATTATAGTATCATTGATATACAGTCTTATGCTGGTTTCAAATACATAACACAGTGCTTCAGCATTCACCCATATTATCAAGTCCTCACCCCCCCCCAGTGCGGTCACTGTCCATCAGCGTAGTAAGATGTTAAAGAATCATTAACTGTACTCTCTGTGCTGTACTACTGTCCCGGTGGCCAACCTATATTGTGACTGTGAATTACTGTGCCTCTTAATCCCCTTTTCCCTCCCCCTACACCCTCCCCAACCCCTTCCCTTTGGTAACCACTAGTCCCTTCCCACAGTCTGTGAGTTTACTGCTGTTTTGTTCCTTCTGTTTTGCTTTGTTTTTATATTCCACAAATGAGGGAAATTATTTGGTACTTGTCTTTCTCCACCTGGCTTATTTCACTGAGCATCTTACCCTCCAACTCCATCCATGTTGTTGGAAATGGGAGAATTTTTCCTTTTTATGGCTGAATAATATTCCATTGTGT